TCCCAGGCGCTCCCGGCACGCTTCCAGGCGCTCCGAGGCGCTCCCAGGCGCTCCCTCCCAGGCGCTCCCAGACGCTCCCAGGCGCTCCCAGGCGCTCCCAGACGCTCCCAGGCGCTTCCAGGCGTTCCAAGGCGCTCCCAGGCGCTCCCAGGCGCTCCCAGGCGCTCCAGGCGTCCCAGGCGTCACTCAGAAGAAAAGGTCTTTGGGTTTAGGGTGTTATATTCGTTGAGGATCAGGGGAGGGTTTATCGTTGAAGCGCGAATCCCCAAAAGAGGGGGAGGGCAGCAGCAAAAGCTGCCACAAACACTCGGGCTACATGCTGAAGCGTCTCAGAGATGCCCTGTCTCTCGTAGACGGCGACGGTGATGCGCGGTGGGGTGGGCAGAAGCACAACGAGGTGCTTGGGAATTTAGGGCTTCTCGGGCGCGCAGCGGCCGACAGTCAAGGCAAGGCAGCCCCCCCTTCGGCAAGCTTGATTAGGGGGGGCGTTTAGCCGACCCGATCAAGCTCGGCGAAGGGCGCCAGAGCTGCAACCACTTCCCACCCCCGGCCGCAGGGCCGGCTACCTCCCAAACTAAAGCCTTTTAGGGTTTAGGGCCGCTGGCCCCTAAATTCCCAATGCGCTCCAAGCGCTCCCAGGCGCTCCCAGGCGCTCCCAGGCGCTCCCAGGCGCTCCCCGGCGCTTCCAGGCGCTCCCAAGCGCTCCCAAGCGCTCCCAGGCGCTCCCAAGCGCTCCCAGGCGCTCCCCGGCGATCCCAGGCGCTCCCAAGCGTCCCAAGCGCTCCCACACCTTCCCAGGCGCTTCCCGCACGCCCCCAGGCGCTCCCAAGCGCTCCCAGTCGCTCCCAGGCGCTCCCAGACGCTCCCAGGCGCTCCCAGGCGCTCCCACATGCGCCCAGAGGCGCTCGGAGCGCTCCACACGTGTTTTTACGTGTCGGAGAAGCATAGCAGCAAATTCCAGGTCAAAAGTCTTTGGGTTTAGGGTGTTATATTCTTCGAGGATCAAGGGAAAGTTTATCTTTGAATCGCGACTCCCAGGGGGCAGCCTACGGCTGCATGGGCGACCCAGTCTGGCAACCAGCTGACGCTTCTCAGAGATGCCCTGTCTCTCGTAGACGGCGACGGTGATGCGCGGTGGGGTGGGCAGAAGCACAACGAGGTGCTTGGGAATTTAGGGTTTAGGGTTTAGGGTTTAGGGTTTAGGGTTTAGGGTTTAGGGTTTAGGGT